AGTCGACTTTATTTTGACTATGACTACGGGCCATTATATATAAACCAAGGCATAAAAAATAACGGTGCTACTTTGTTTTAGCCGCACCGAATGAATTGGAGAAAGTAATTAATTTTTATACTAAATGCCTGTAAGTAGTATGCAGTACACAATACTCATATCTGTAATAAGAAAATTTTGAGTAATATGTTCGGATTTTGAGGATTTTTCATTTGTTTTTGAGGAATTTGGTAATTTTTTTGTGGCAACACTGTTGCACACGAAAAGTATTGGATCAGAGCTTAGATGTTTCGTGTTGGTTGGGGCGCATGCTATTTTTCGGAGATTTTGTTGATCGAATGGCAAAAATATGGATATGGTATCGTATCGTAAAGGAATTCGTGTCTCTAGCTTAGTTTGTTTTCTTACTTGTACAATGGTCATTGTCATCGGAAATTCATCTGATCCGCATTAATTTTTAGGATGAGCTGAAGGAATTATTTCGGATCAACTGCATTTAATTCCGGTGTTAATTCCGAATTAACGAGATCATCCGGATCAACGCTTCCGTCTGTCTATGCTGCGATGAGAATGGTAATGATGCAATTGCATTTCACATACATTTTGACGTATTTATGTGGAATAACAGTCAAAAGCAATGCTATGGTCCCTTGTTCAACGACAAGGTATAACAAAGCCATCCTAGCAGAATTCCAATAAGCAATACAGGTGTCGGTGTTATTTATTAATTATATATTCCGATAAAAGTCGGCAAAAAAATAGATTCATATGTACATATATAGTACTTAATAAATGACAGCTGAGAAATGGGCGTCTGGTACTATAGGGCTTAGGGCGGCAAGACTGCAAATCCACCACTGAATAGCCCTTTTAACCCTTAAGGGCTGACTATAATATAAATAAGCAAGCGTAGGCAAACGTGCGAATACACATAAATCCTATTCTGAAACTATAACGTACTTAACATCAAGTTTCGTCAAACGTCATTTGCGTAAGGAAAGAGCGATACTGGTCGCACATTCCGTACGGAATCAGCTGTTTGTACTCGTATGTATGTATGTACATATGTAACACATGCAGTGTTGACGCTTTGGTATTTTTTACCGAATTTGGTAATTTTTTTCTTTGTTTATCTTGGTAACTTATTTTTCAACTTGGTAACTTTTTTGATTCAGTCCTACATGTAACATAGGTAAAAACAAGTTCTGCTTCCACATTAGGAAGTGGGCCGTAAGCGTTTCCTTTAACAGAAATACCAGGTAATCCTGAAAGTTTCGCAAGGCGAACAGTTCTTAAGCGTTCCTAGGTTACTATAATTGTGTGATTTACAACAAACTGTTTGATAGTGCCTATTGATATATCTATCGAGTCCTTTTCCAGAACCACGCTCCTGTTACTCACTTTCTCCACAATTATAACGAGTTGTCCCTTCTTGTTATCTACGTTCTTTGGTCATAACTAATGTGACCAACTATTTCATAGCTCAAAGAAGTACAGGCTAGGTTGGATTAAGTTAACGCCGCGAGTTGATTATGAATTTTCGAAGAGCTAAACACTGGTTTGTTCCGAATTGCGAGCAAAAATGCTTCCATCTTAGTCTCGCGAAGGTTGGACAGTCTAAAAGAAAGTGTGGGGATTCACTTCATCTTCCTCTTGACAGCTGACATAAAATGATCAGTCGAAATTCTTAGTCTCACCGCATGAATACCAACTGCACAATGGCCTGTCAGAACACCCGTCACTAGCTCTTGAGAGGTAACGTGTTTTAAAGTTCCCTATGAAAACATTTGCTGTAGCAGAGAAAAGTTTTCTTTCTGGTTTACCTGAGCCTAATAGCAGCTCGTGCTGCGACAATTCTGTCTGCAATATCCTCAGACGCCGAGCTCAACATTTGTGTTAAGCGCCAGTGTAGGTTCCTAATGCTCCGCTAATTCCTGTTTTACAAGTGTAGCCTTCTCTAGTGAGTACCACCAGACAAGGGCTCCTTGAAACAATATAGGCTTAAATCTGGTTTCCGAGAGCTAATGAATTAATTTCGGCGAGAGACCCCACCATTTACCGATAGCTCCCCTACAGAAGTACAAGGTAACCGACCCCTTTCCTACCCTTTCCTCAAGCCGCCGTGGATTGCCCACCTAGTTACCTGGTTCAGGTAACCTTGAGTCAGATCAAAAAGGGTGTACAGAAATCGTACTTTAACCTAAAGTTCCCCATCGTCTACATAGGCGATCACCCGACAGCCCACTTTTCCCAGTTCCTCTAGAAGGTGGTTTACAACCGCAATCTAGAGCAGGGGAGAGGGAACACCACCTTGTGGAGTGCTCCTATTGACTCTGCACTGAGTGCAGACGACCACCACTCCGCCGCGACAGTTCTGTCACGAAGTGAGCGGTAGCTAAGCCTTATTAAGTAGGTTTAAACGCGAAATTGTTAATGGTTTGAAAGAATTTATCGCCCAGGCCATGTGACGATCATCCAAAAGATCGGAGAAGTACAAAATATCGCAAAGAAGAACATTTGACTGTACTTCGAAGTACGAAGTACAATAGCGAAAAAAGAAGTACTGTACTTCCAAAAGAAGTACGGTTGGTCACATTAGTCATAACTGAACAAATGTGGAGTTTAAAGTGCTCGGAAATTTTAGTTTAGTTTTAAATAAGTTTGGTAATTTTTTGTGGAATTTGGTACCTTTATCTGGTGATTTTGGGTAAAAAATAATAAAATGTGGCAACACATGTAAAGGGCTGACTATAATATGAATAAGCAAGCGTATGCAAACGTGCGAATACACATAAATCCTATTCGGAAACTATAATGTACTTAAAATCAAGCTTCGTCAAGTTTCTTTAAACGTCATTTCCTTAAGGAAGGAGCTATACTGGTCGCAGCTTCCGTACGGAATCAGCTGTTTGTACTCGTATGTATGTATGTATGTACATATGTAACACATGCAGTGTTGCCGCTTTGAGAATTTTTTTCCGAAATTGGTATTTTTTTTGTTTGTTTATCATATTTGGTAATTTGGTAACTTATTTTTCACCTTGGTAACTTTTTGGATTCAGTCCTAAATGTAACATAGGTCAAAACAAGTTCTGGTTCCACATTAGGAAGTGGGCCGTAAGCGTTTCCTTTTACAGAAATACCAGGTAATCCTGAAAGTTTCGCAAAGCGAACATTTTTTCGGCGTTCCTAGGCTACTATAATCGTGTGTGATCTACAACAAACTGCTTGATAGTGGCTATTGTTATATCTACCGAGTCCTTTTCCAGAAGGTTGTGGATGGTCCTACCTTTCCTTGACAGTTCGTTAGCTTTGCAATTCGTCGTCTGGTTAAAAGATTGTCGTATGTTAATTTCGGCAGGTTGTGGGAAATCGCGATTGAAGTTTGGAATGCAATTTCTTAAAAACGCGAAGATAGATTTTCCCCAAATTCTTTGAAAATGTTACTAGTTTACAAAATTCTTAAATTATTTCATTTTTAATGTTTACTGTTAATTAGTTTTGAGTTTATTAAGGATTTTTTTTAGAGAAATTTTGTCGTAAGCCTCATTTGTTCACAATTTGGCAGCCACTTTGTATGAAATACGACAAAATGTGATCAAAATTTCTACCAAATCTCGGAAACTAAAGGAGATATCAAAAAATGGAGAACGCCATTTTTAAGATATTGATTAGTTTAATATGACTGCATCACCAACTAAATGTTTACTAAAATTAAATGTTTAGGGCTTATATAAACTCGATAACAGCCTCGAATTTCGTTCTTCTAACTTTGTCAGCTTACAAATTACCTATTCGCCCTTGTGAATCCAAAAAATTAACATTTTTTAAATTCTAAAGTAATTTCCTATTGCATTTGTTACCCATATTTTTGTTCTACATTGCGTTGATTTTTTTTTTTATTTTTGGAATTAATCATATCTTTGAAATTACAAAGTCCTTCAAAATAAATCCTGCGGTTAGAGATAAAAAATAAAAACGCCGCTTTAAATATAAAAGTAGGTTTCAAACCCATTTATTATTATTTATTTCATGGTAGGAGAGCTTCTCAAATAATATAGAAGCAATTTTTAGAATTCAAGTTGTTGAAAAGTAATGGATACCTAAATCCCGGGATCCCGGGATTGTGACAACGCCATCCCGAAAATCCCGGGATCGGAAGCCGAAAAATTAACATCCCTAGTATGTACGTTCAAGAGGCTACGGCATTCAATAGGGGACTTCCCTTTGTCTATGTCTGAGTCGAAAGCTTTCAGGATTGCTTGAAGCATTGAATTTTTGAGATATTTTCGGCCACTTTTTGACATAAATATGCATATGTGTATATTGGTCATAACAAAGCGAAAGTGAGTAACAGGGGCGTGCTTTCTCTTTTGCTCTAGTACGTTTTTCNAGGGGACTTCCCTTTGTCTATGTCTGAGTCGAAAGCTTTCAGGATTGCTTGAAGCATTGAATTTTTGAGATATTTTCGGCCACTTTTTGACATAAATATGCATATGTGTATATTGGTCATAACAAAGCGAAAGTGAGTAACAGGGGCGTGCTTTCTCTTTTGCTCTAGTACGTTTTTCAATTGGATGAAAAGAGAAGGCACGCCCCTGTTACTCACTTTCGCGTTGTCTCGTCTTGTTATCTACGTTCTTTGTTCATAACTGGACAATGTACATTTTAAAGTGCTCCCAAATTTTAGTTTAGTTTAAAATAGTTTTGGGAATTTTTTGTTGAACTTGGTAACTTTTTCTGGTGATTTTGGGTAAAGAATAAAAAAAAATTGGCAACACTGAACACATGTAAGTAAAATATACTCACCTAAAAGTCTACATTACGTTGCTTATGCATTTGACAGACTTTTCGTTCATTTTCTGACAGTCAGTTACGACAGCTTATTCACAATATAGTCAGCCCTTTAAGCCTTATACCGTCTTTATTCGGTTGGTTGTTGACGAAGCCTCTCAAGCCGTGAAATTGGAAATTCTAAAATGCCTTACTTTTCTCCATAGCAATTGGCAGGTTTGCTAATTTCACGACAAATTATTGGAAACGTTCGGGAGTCGGCAATACCTTATTTCATTGAGCAGTGGAAACTAGCCAAATTGAGCTTTAGTATGTGGGGCGCATTAAGCCCTACACTAGATACCGATCGCTCCGTACTGGACTCCGGTGTTTCGAAAACAACAACGACTATCGAATCAGCAACAGTAGAAAAATTCAAAGGAGATACACCACAACAGACACCTGCCAAACATGAAGCAAGCAGCTCACGTCTGGAGCCGACTATATCACGGCCAGCTTCATCGAGTAAACGGAATATAGGGCAAGCAGAAATTGAAAGCACTCTTTACAAGGTAAAAAGTAGAGAAAATACATAGCAAGATACTTACATATCGTTAACATACGGCGTGTTTTATTTGACGTGAAATTTGAGCTATTAGCTTGTTTAGCCAACATTACTATATTGGCTAAGTCTTCCATACAAAATAAGCTAATAGCTTAAATTCCTCGTCAAATAAAACATACCTACAGTATGGAAAGGGCATAACTCACATCGTCTTGAAATACAACAAAGGCCGTAACTAACTAAAAATTAAAAACTCACTTTTTGATTGATTATACTGTGCGACGGCTCAAATCGGTATTGAGTAAAACCAAATGCAAGTGGATAGTTTCAGGTGTCAATAATATTACGTTAGTGGCTTTTTATTAGGTTCATTCCTTATCTTTTCCGACTAAAATCTGAAAAGTGTCAAAATGTAAGAGCGTAAGCCAAATGCGCTCACTAAAAGAGAATAACAGGAAAAAGTAAAGGAACCAAATTTTTAGTCCAACGAATGCCAACAACAAAACCAACGTCGAATAAGAATAGAAATGTATGTACAAAACACATTCACACAAGCATAACCACAATAAACACTTGCTATATCAATTATTTTTTGCCTCCTTCCATTTTCAATTCACTTTTTTTAGTTCTTAGATTATTCTCACTTTTCGTGTATTCTTTAATTTCCGTTAGTTTAAATTCAGTTGAGTTTGACACTTTTCTTCTGACTAAATCTGACTACAGTAAAATCCGCTTAAGTACCTCACGAAAAATGTCAGCTTTTTGAGGTACAGTGAAACCCGCTTAAGTAGTTTAGTTTCTACGGTATGTGTTAGGGAATGAATTTTTATAATTGAAACATTTTGAAAATAAAAAAATTGAAAATAAAAAGCAAACAATATCATTTTGAATTTGTTGTTTGTTTGTTTTTTTTTTAATAAAGTTTTCCTTTATATGTTTACTTCTTTAAATAATGCTAAGACCTTGGTTTTAAATTACGTATACTTCATTAAATGTTCATATTTTATTTATGTATTTAAGTTAACAAGATGATGTAACTACATCAAGAATTATGTTCGCTTAAGTACCCGCATCCAGGTACTTAAGAGGGTTCTTTTAAGTACCCAACCCGCCTAAGTACCTCAAACAGCTGACATTTTTCGTGAGGTACTTNAATTATGTTCGCTTAAGTACCCGCATCGAGGTACTTAAGAGGGTTCTTTTAAGTACCCAACCCGCCTAAGTACCTCAAACAGCTGACATTTTTCGTGAGGTACTTAAGCGGGTTTTACTGTACTTAGGCGGGTTGGGTACTTAAAATAACCCACTTAAGTACCTCGATGCGGGTACTTAAGCGAACATAATTACTGATGTCGTTACATCTTCTTGTTAACTTACATAAATAGTTGAATAACAACATTTAATGAAGTATACATAGTTTAAAACCAAAATCATAGCATTACAAGTAAAGAAAGAGAAAAATATTTAGTGCAACGGTTAAATAGTCAAAGTTGGACATATCATTTTGTACCAAATTCAAAATGATATTGTTTGCCACTTGTGTTTATTTATTAATTTTTAAAATTTTTCAATCAATTAAAATGCAGTCCATTCCCTAACAAATACCATATAAACCTAAGCTTAAGATTTTGTAGAACACTTAAAAAAATCATCATAATTTCCAACTTTTTTTGTCAGAAGTGTTTTTTGAGTATACAGTCCCATTTAATTTTAGTGTAATAATGTGCAAGTTTCAAGTGGCTAAAAGTTACCGTTGATTTTGTAGAATTTTTTTTTACCGAAGGTGTGTAGCGCTGCTACTGAATTTGAAACTACGTAAATATTTTGAGGAATTTAAAGGAAAGCACTTAAAAGGGGAAAATTATAAGTAAAATTGTAAATGGGGCACGAAAAATTGAGGTACTTAGGTGGGTTGGGTAAATAAGCGGGGAGGTACTTAAGAGAGGGATTTTCTTCTGATTATATTAAAAAATTCACGGTGTCCAAAAATGTTGGTTACTTAAGCGGGGGGAACTTAAGCGGGTTTCACTGTACTTCGAACTGAAGAGAGTCACTCTCACTGAGTGTTGCTCTCTCATTTCTGCTGTCATTTTCGAGTTTAGAAACGCTTTTTGGACTAAATCGGACTAGTTGGGACCATTTCTGACTATTTCTAGGAGAAAAGGAACGCAACTATTAGGTTACTTTACTTTTACTCTCTAGTAATGGGAAGGGAGGGCACAATGTTTGGTGTGTCATAAAGAAATCGCACGTACGACAAACTTTTTTGTTAAACGCCATCATAGCGCCATTTCCCGTTATTCCTAAATATTGAATTAACAAATTATTACGTTCATATGCACATAAATAAAAAGATGATATTAAAATAATGCTAAAAAATCCCTTTTCTTTTAATTCAAAATAAGAAGATTAATACAAATTATTTCAAGTATTTGCTTTAATTTTGCATCAGACGCGTGAGCGACTAGTTCTCTTCATTCTCTCATCGTTTAGCAAAAATGAAATATATGATTGTGTGAGTTTTGGCCACCTCCGCTTTAGTGCTACTTTCCATTTTTCTATTTTACAAAATTTGCTCTCGGATGTAAACAAACAACAGCTGTTATTTCAAATTATTACCCATTTTTCTCGCGTGAGGAACGCTTTCTGGGCTGTTTTGGTACGGTTGCAGATTTGTACTGAATTTTCAATTCAAACAAAATACTTTAGGATTTTCTTAAGGTTTTTAGATGACGTAGGAAATTCCTTAAACTATACTGTAAAAATTAAGAAGAAAACAGTTTAATTATAGTTGACATGTTTCAGATAATGTTTGATATGATCAATAAATTAATCTATCTATATATATAAATGTGAATGTCTGTTTGTTTATTACCTTATAACTTTTAAACCACGATACGGAATCGCACGAAACTTTGCACACTTATTTGTTTTTACCCTGGGAAGGTTATAGGTATGGTTTTATTTGCAAATGTGTCCTAAATTTTGCAAGGGGGCACGGCACCTCGCATAGGCCTGCCAATGTTTAATGAGCTATAACTTCGAAACCATAAGTCAAGTGAACTTAAAATTTGGTACGAAGACATGTCTATGGTAGGCGCTTATATTATGATATATATAAATCGGTTTATAAAAGGGGGCGTGACACATCCCTTAGGCGTGGAATTTTTTACCAGCTATAACAAAAGTCACATAAATTTTAAAGTTGGTATGTAAACATATCTATGGTAGGTGCTTATACTAAGGTATATGAGTTTGTAAAAGAGGGCGTGGCACATCTCATAGGCGTGGAATTTTGTTTTTGCTATAACTTCGGAAGTCATATCTATGGTAGTTGCTTATGTTAAGGATTATATAAATGAGTTTGTATAAAGACGTGGGCGAAACCCGCTCGTAAAAGCTAGTACAACATAAAGATCAATAAATAAAAAAAAAATAAAAATAAAGACAGAGAGCTAGATACTCTTTTCAGCGAATTCTTAGTCTTTCAAAGTTTTTGTATAGTTGAAAAAATAATAATTTAAGCAATGAGGAAATATAGATGAAGTCTTTAAATAACGGTACTTTTGCACAGTTTGAAATAAAATGTATTTTTTTTTAAATAACATACTGACACTTTTATTTTTTAAGGAATATATTTTATTTATATACCAAAATATCGTTAAAAACAAGTACTGGCGTTACTTACATTTATAATTTTGCTTTGAATAAAATTGTACTGAAAGTAGTGATTTTTTTAGCATGAAAAAGTCTAACGTACTGATTTCGAACATAAAAAGTCTGGCAACCCTATGTTTTGGGCCCCGCGGGCTCGTGTGGAACAAACCTATTATTACCACGCTTTTATCATTTCGAAATCTTGATTGCCATAGAATACAGTGAAACCCGCTTAAGTACCCCCCCCCCCCCNGCTTAAGTACCTTAACCGCTTAAGTAACCAACATTTTGGGGCAATATGCATTTTTGAATGTAATTTGAAGAAAATCCCTCTCTTAAGTACCACCCCGCTTATTTACCCAACCCGCCTAAGTACCTAAATTTTTCATACCCCATTTACCACTTTACCTATAATTTTCCCCTTTTAAGTGCTCTTTTATATTCCTTAAAATATTTACATATTTTGAAATTCAGTGGCACCGTTACACACCTTCGGCAAAAAATTACAAAAAATCAACGGTAATTTTTAGCACCTTGAAACTAGCACATTGTTGCACTAAAATTTAATGGGCTATAAAACTGTATTATCAAAAAACACTTCAGAGAAAAAAATTTAAAATTTTGGGGAATTTTTTTCTTTAAGTGTTGTATAAAATCTTAAGCTTAGGTTTATATGGTATTTGTTAGGGAATGAACTGTACTTTAATTGAAAAATCTTAAATAATGCTACGGTTTTGGTTTTAAACTCCATATAAAATGTTCATGTTTTATTCAAGGATTTACATATTTATGTAAGTTAACAAAAATATGTAACTACATCAATAATTATGTTCGCTTAAGTACCCGCATCGAGGTACTTCTTTTAAGTACCCAACCCGCTTAAGTACCTCAAAAAGCTGACATTTTTCGTGAGGTACTTAAGTGGGTTTGACTGTATGCAAAAACTAGTCTAACAAAGTCACAAAATTCAGTGCATCACTGTTTTGGGTTATACTGCGCTTCAAAGTATGCCGCTAAAGCAAACATGCCGCCACAAAAAAAAATTTAAAATCTATCAATGTTATTGTTGCTTATTAAAATTTTATTTTAATTTTTTTATAGATCTTGGTACCACGATCGTTTATTAGGGAAAATTGAAAAAGCAACAAAGTCTAAGCGGTAGAAGTTATAGCAGCTATTTCGGAGATCACCACATCTCCTCNTTTTTCTAGACTTCAGCAGGGATCGAACCTGCGAATTCGATGTTCAAAGTCAGAAGCGTTAACCACTGAGCTATGTACATCCCGTAAACTCTTGTTGCTAATTCATTTTCCTTATCCAACCAACTACTATCAAGTGCAGCTGATTTTG